AGCCATCCAAGTTTTTATGTCGAGCACGAGAAGACAGAGAAAGACAGTTGGATATAAGGTGTTTAAGAATTATCCGAAAACTTAATAGCTATTTGGAGTACCAAGAGATCGTAAGAAGGTTTGCATGTGGAGGCGAGGATATTGAGGAGAATGGAAGCCCAGTGTCGGAATGCGTAAGCGAAATGAGATTGCGATCATCATGTGGAGTTAGAGTTTACTTGATGAAGTATCTGAAGTTGAAGGAACCTCGAAAATCCTTGGCAGTTAGTCAGGCCACTTTGCTCTCCGGGGACTCGACTCCAGAGCAAAGCTTAGCCAAGGAGTCAAATGGCTCTCCTACCAGGATTGAGTGAGTTATTCTTTTCTGAATAATTGAGTTCTTTTCTCGGTGAAAATTGCCCAAATCGCATCAAAACGAGTTATTAAATAAGGTCTTAATTGAGAGTGGTTATTTCGATTGATGTAATAAATAATATTAGCCCTATTCCATTGCATACTATAGGTTTACATTGCCATGAACACCTCTCTTTTCCAAGTATCAAGTAAGAAAATAAACAAAAATTTTTGGTCGTTTAGTCTCATTGTAAATTTTGAGGATGATCATTTCCATACACTTCGCAGTTCAAGTGGACACATTATCTGCCACGCCGGTTAAAATATGCAATTCAAAAAGAAGCCCGTGTTTAGTTGGTTCCACAAGTACTGAAATGAGGGGAACTAATTCATATCCACTTCTTAGCTCCCCAGTTTGCCAATTCATCACTAAATAATTAACGTTATGAATATCTCTGCTTCAAGGCGCCTTTCCGCCATCATGATAGCCTGAGTAGTGAGTGATCAAGAATCCCGTGGAAACACATAATTCAAACAACATTAGCGTGAATGGTTGTCTCTCGTTTCGAAGGTGTTCCTTCATCAATTGGCGATTCGCAATGGAGCAAAACAAAGAATAGGATTAAATTTAATTTGTGATTAAGACAAAAGTTAGCCAATTGAATGGATTAGTTGTGTTGGCCTGGAATGGCTACAGTTGATCGATATCTGCTTCAACAGGCGGTGCTATTGGATGTCCAAATCTAGTGAATGGGCAGAAGAGGGCAGCAAGTAATTGCCTTTTTAATTATTAGTTCATTTGTTATTAGGAGACAGAATAGACCAGTATAAGTTTAATCAATCTGATTATTTGGGAGAATGAGAGTGGACTAATTTAATTGGACGAAAAGGTGGAGGTGGGGGTAGTGGCGTTATTTTAAACTGCATAAGTTAAATTGCATAGCATACATGGGGTGCAACAGTTGCCCGAAGGTGTCTTCGACAATGGTGTAGTGGAGTGTTCTGATTAGATGGCAAATGGCAGGTTTTTTTCATGAATTTACCATTGCGTTGCTTTACTGTTGAGTGTCGATAGACGAATTTCTTTAGAATTAAATTACTTTTTTGGCATTTTATGACACTTTTCCTGCAAAAGATGAAATAATCCGGTGTTGTTTTATCATAGTAGGCCGCTTTTTCATCGATAAATTAGCTACCTCTTCGATATATCGCATTACCGAAACAGGTTTCCCACTTAGGATTGACTTTGAAGTCATTCATCAAATTGTCGTTCTCATGCATTTGTTTGGTTGCACTATTTTTGGAGTGGGGGGGGGGGGGGGGTGGGGGGTGGGGGGAAGCATTTTGTACGTTTTGGATAGACACAAAGGGGGGAGATCATTTAAGGCCTTTCCACTGGAAATAATTCTCCAACCTCTTCTCCTGAGCGCAATTTAGTCCTCAAAGTTAAATTGATCAAAATATATGCCAGATTTTACTCATTTTGGGATGTTTTTTCTCCCATTGACGTGCACAAGAAGAGTGCGAAATGTGGATCATACAAATGAACTAGTAAAATTGAGTTTAGTTGTGCTCTGGAAAACCATTCCAACCTCCTCTCACTGGAGAATGTTAACAAATGGTGAGCAGTAGAGCATGTGGTAATTGAATGTGGGTATGCAGAGAAGCAGCTAGAAGTCATTCCAAGTTATCAGACTTTCGGTTATGAAGTATATTTTATTGCATTATTTCCTAAATTCTACACTTGAGAAATTGACTCTAATCTCCGCGTCCTTCAAATCTTATTGACTAAGTTATAACTGTGAGTGAATGACTATGCTGTGGAACAAATTCAACGCTTCCAATGCAACCTACTGTTTTACAACTGAGAAAGCAGACTAGTTCACCTATAGATGAGCTAGAACACCATTAAAGTAGGCAATCAACTCAGTTTTGTCAACGCAATTGGAAGCGTTGGTCATCAAACCAATCACTCAATTTCTTCGAACTCAGATCTGCTAAGTTAGTATGAGTGGAACACGTTTATTTGCCAAATATCTTCAAATTTTGAATATCTGAGTGTCATGTTTACAATGGGTAAATTTAATGAAAAGGTATATTAAGCGTATTTGTACGTGATGGAAGTAGGTGAAATTTGAATAGGATAAATACGTGAAATCATGAGGAACGGTGAATGCTGATACACGCCACATGAAGTGTTGTTCATTCACTGGTGCTATTTCGCGTCCAAATTCAGCAAGGAACTAATCGTCAGTGAGAAGCAAGTTTAAATGAAATCATTGCTTCTCGCAGTCCTGCACCGAACTGTGCAGTTATGCACAGTGTTACCTCAGTAGTAAGTTACTTTATGAAGGGCAACAAGACGGACACAATATACTTAGTAAATGCATTTCTCAGAGAGTGAAAGTCTGAAAGAAATGAAAATTTGTGGATTGGTCACACACACACACACACACCAAACTTAATTCTGAAAGATTCAGAATAGTTATCATATCATTTTCAATGTCCAAAACGCTAATGCAGGCAGTGTTGTACATCTGCTATTGATTTGGGACTTAAAACCAGAAAGAAATTAGTGTCATCTTCAAGTCGATTGTATACGACTAACAAAATACCAAATGCCTTTTCCTGTTCTTCAATGTAAAGTAATCAAGCATAAGGCAATAGCATCAAATGTTATGATGAGATTCCACTTTTCAAAAAAAACATTGAGAGCTGTCCACCTACAGACAAATGAAGGTAGGCTAACCATTTAGTGAATTAGCCTTCCTTCAAATTGACTTTCTGCACACATTTATCGACATCCCTGCTTGATAAAAGCAATTGGTCTCATACTTTGTTATTGCATTCCTTTGGAATCTGTGGGAGGTGTAATTTAATAGGGTACCTGGTGCAGACCCCGGACACGTAAAGGCACTGGGTCGTCGCTTGAGGGCTATAAACCTGTAGGAAAGCATTCTATCTATTCGTTGAATAGTGGCGTGACTATCAAATGACTTAGAGCTCTTACCTATAACTAGCGCCACTTCTATTTGGAAGAAGGGTTCAAGGTGCTTCTTTGACTGTCATTTTAGCCATCGAAGAACAGCTAGAAATAGCATAGCTATCGACCAATTCAGTGAAATGATGGAGAGTTTCACAACAGACCACCCGGGTGCAGCAGTGAATGAGGGTTCAACTGGCTCTGCAAGCGCCCAAACGGCAACCACAATTGCGACACTATCTCCCGAGACCCTTCTTCGACGTCTAGCAAGGAGTATATCGACTCGACTTGCATACAAGCGATGTCTCCTAGAAAACTCAACACAGCGTCTGGAAGAACTTAAAAAGGAAACCGAAGTGGTAAGCGATGTATTCCAATGATCTTTATGGAGGCTATTCAAATTTTCACTGCAGTCATTCATGCACTTTACATTAATTCTTAGTGAATGAAGACTCTTACGATGTTTTCAATTAGTTCAATTAGTGAAAGTGTTGTTGCAATTTAGGGGTCATGTCGTAAAAGCGACATTAAGATGTTATCATTTGGAGTTCACGAATATTGCTGCAACTATTTCCTTGAGGTTTTACTTAATGAAAATCAATCAGTTCGCTACCTTGGTGTTTTTTCGCGCAAAGAGGGATAATTGATGAGTTGATGAGCAGGAAACGCTTTGGATGGAAGTGAACCGCAGTTAAGTAAGCATGCTTTTTAGGGAAGAATCGAGGTGCCTAAATAGCAAAAATTTAAGACTCTGCCTTTGATATACCAGGTTTATAGTACACCAGGCGTAGTATTTTTCCACATTTCGAGGTAAAATAGAAAGGAGAGGAGGGAAACCAAGTAACTTGAAAGTTAAATCGCTTCGATATTAATTTGCGCTACAGTTCCAAGTAGATGCGTTGATAGAAGAACAACAACAAAAAAAGTTGCTTAGATATGGGGTATATATTTGGCAGAAGATAGTAAAGATAAAGTCTTTAAAATTCTTCTTCTTTTGTTCTCACCTAACACTGACAGTCACTCGTTCGATTTCCCATTGGCCAGGAGAAAGAGAAACGACACTAAAAAGTTGTGTTTGAAAGGTCATGCAGGTCCATTCGAGGGAATAAATAAGTACTTACTTAACAAATGTAATTGAGTCGGCAAAATCTATAATCGACAAAATGATCTCATATTAATGCAATGGTAAAAGGATAACAGACTATATGTAGCATTGTTGATATTCCATGCCTCTGTCTTGGAGATGTGAATTTGCCAGATCGTTGTTATTGGACTACGAAATCAATCAATGAGATAATTCAGCTTCGTCTTGAATTATTTCACAGATTGTAGATCTAATACTCTCCATGCCTTGTCAGACATCGTTTTCCAAATTATAGGTACGAAATGTTCTCCGCAAAGTCATAACCGATGCTCTCCCACAAATGCGTAGTGACGAAGACGTCTTCTATTTCCACATTCCCCAAGCCACCTCCTCCACCACTCCTCAAAAGGAAATGGAAGTAGAAATGGTGGTTAGTCAAGTTGCTTCCTCAAATATCCATCCCTTCCATCACCATCACCAACACCAACATCACCATCAACACAACAATCTGAACAATCACAACTCCTCCGAACCCTCGGCAACCACCTCCGTGACCTCCAATCTCCTACCGCGTCTTGATCGCCTCATTTCCAGTCAGGCGGCTGTACTGGAACTCATCTGTCAGCTCACTCGCCGTCTCTATTGTCTAGATCGGAAGATTGCTGAATGCTTGGCTAATAGGCTAACGCCAAGTGGCAAGAAGGGTGAAGATGCAAAGGACCTTAATGAAACAGATGCCGTTCTGGTGGGTTCTGATGACATATTGTCGTACGCATCAGCATATCTCAAATTTAGGCATATAAGGCAATTTGCCGGTGGAAGAGAAATCTCGTTATTTGAATTAGCAATGACCTAACTGCTTCGAGGAGTTGATGACTAAATTAAGTGAGATAGATTGAATGCTTGAAGAAGCAGATAAGAAGACATGTAAGCGGCGAGGTTATAAAGATGATAGAAAACCTGACAGTTTCGCATGTCTCTGTTGAGTTGAGACCTTGGTCTACTTGATAGAGTTTTGTCGAACATGGTAGAATATGCTTTATTTTCGTCTATTTGTTTGTCGTTAGTGGGTTTTCGACTTGATGCCTAGTTGCAGACACTTACCTTGAACTAGTAAGTATTCTCTAACAAAGAGACCACGTTGCCAAAGAGTGCATACTTTGTTGTATTTAATTTTACTACCCGTCTGCTATTGCATTAAATAAGTAATACTATTTGATATTACTCACTCCTGAGGTTCCTTCTTTCCAACAAAATGTGGTGTGGTTTCTACCAAGGGGTTTTCGTCTTTGCCTGCCAAATTGGAAAACCACTTGCGGGGAAATTGCTGCTAATCATTTCAAGACTTAAAGAAGTTGCTCAGTTCATTACCACAAGAGAGCTTCTTTCCTGACATTTGATGGGGAAATATTAAGTGCCGAGGTTGAGTTAGTAAAGGACTGTGGGGCGGTCCTTCTCTCAGCTTTCGGAAGGCGGAAAAGTAAAAATTATGGGCAGGAGTTCCCATCGACATAATGTTAAGATTAGAACAAAAGCAAATATCAAAATTGCCCTTTCTAATTGTAATTTCTTATTGGAATCAATTTGAGTGCTCTCGAAATTACAAGTGAATTCTTCTGAAATTAAAATGGAATGGCAAAAATGGGTAAGGACTGAAGTTATCGTCCTCCTTTGAGGCTGAAAGAAGGTGGTAGACTTCGAGTAGTTGGAATGAATTGGTGAAAAGGTGAATTAAATGAGCAGAGTCATAGACAGATAGGGATGGAGATCACTTTTAATGAGACAGAACTTAGAGGCCCCATGATCAACTAAATAATATTCCTTCATGCAAACATTTCTAATTACTATGTGACAGAAAAGTACTCAAATTGAGATTTGCCAATAGCGTTTTTGTCAAGATGCCAATTTGGCATTATCTTCTCTATATGTAGTTTGAACACGAACGTCATCGACTTTGCAGCTAAGAGTGGAGGTCAATTTCAATTTATTGCAGGTTTTGCCAGGTGAAATAGTCTAGAAGTCACTTTTCCGTCTACTACTGAGGGACAGACTGACAAACTTTGGAAAAATTCTTTTCCATCTTATTATTACTCTCTTCTACAGTGGTTGATTCAAATGGAACATTCTAGTTACTTGGGTGGTGTGTGTGGCCATTTAGCACCGTTAACTAGAATAATGTTTAGGTCTGACTCACTAGAAATATTGTGATTATGCCTGTATGATTATAAACAACTCCTAAGCCAGTTTGAAAACCATTGTTGCTGTCGATTAACTTGGATAGGAAGCCTCTCCGGAATGTAACAGTGATATTCACACTTAATTAGCTTTAGTTGACCCAACTCTTAACCTAGATACTATAACAATTGCCATCTACCAATTATCCGATGAGCATTTCTCAACAAGGTTTTACCCAATAACAGTGATTATTTATACTGACATATTTTTTAATGAATGGTCAGGAATTAGAAGGGCATTGATATGCATCTCTTCAATGAAATCGGAAATAATTTGCAAATTGATGTTATTTATTAAGAAGATGGGTTGATTGAAATCAATCTGGCCAACAGAGGCCAACACAGTTACACTCTCGAGTTGAAGCGTGAACTTCCACGAACACAGAGGGCTGGGGGTGGGGTAAGGGAGGGGAGGGGAGGGATGAGGGTGATCGAACGGATGAAGGCGTAATTGATGACAATCGTTTGGTAGATATTGCAAATGTTCCTTTCCCTTCCAAATACGTTCATCCTCCCTTCAGATAGTTATTCGCTTCACTCAAAAACCCGAAAGGCGTTAATAAACCAGCCAACTCAATCACACAAAATATGCAGACATCATTCAAGCAATCAATGATCACTTCTTGGCTCAGATGTGTTCAGCCTCTTTTGTGCATTGTCTTTACTCCAATCTCTAGATGGAATGTATTAATGATTTCAACTTTCCATCTTCATTCCTCCGAACATACCTTTGAAAGAGGTTTTTTGTTGAAGTCTATCTCATTTTCTCAACAACCGACATGCAGTAGGGTTGAAAGACACTGAGTTCATTGCTTCCCTGAACCCGACGGTTTAATTCCCAAGGGGTGAAACATTGACGTATAAATCGGTTGCTTAAGCATCTATTCACATAAATTAACTCATATAAAAGATGATTCATATTGAGGCCAAATGAACTTGAAATTTTGAACTTATTACTAATCAGCACTTTAAGTGAGAGAATTGTTACCAGAGAAAAGTGTTTAGCCGCCAAATATTTGAAGTATTCACATTGAAATTGCAAGGCTTTGCACGTGGTATTCTCCCTTGGCTTCTAACTTTGCATGATATTGAAGATCATGAAATTTGGTGAAGTCTCTTCCGCCAAGTGTACAGAAAGAGTGGAAATTGATAAAATACGAGAATTTAGTTGCAAATATTCTACTCCATTTGTTCTACATCACTGCAATCGATACTGACAAGAACATCAAGTCAAAATGAATCTCATTCACGCTACCTTTCAAGTCTTCTATCAACAGAAGTGAGTTGATACACACTGAAACTGTATGAGAATAGAACCAATTAGACGTGTCTTAACGGCTGCATTTGAAACCATTAGCCCAGTGTGTTGTCATTTGGGGTTACTGGCAATCTTGTTGTCCTGTTGAGAAAAGTGAGGGAATGTTGGCAGAAAGCTGAATGCACTGTTTCATTTGGACGCCCTCATGAACGTTGTGCAATACAAGAAATGCTAGAATGTCAAAGTACGTGATAAAGCCCCAGCCA